ACAGCGTCCAGGTACCACTGGATGGTGCGGAAAGGCAGCCTGGCCTCCTCCCGCAGGGCGGCAATCAGGCTGATCAGGCAGGCTGATCAGGTTGACCCCCAGACGTTGCTTGCCCATCACCACGCCGTCCAGTTGCGCGGTGGGCGTACAACAGCGTTGGCACTGTGGGCAGGTGCGGGCGATATAAGCGTGCTCGGTTACCTGCACCGAAACCCGGGGCAGGTCAATCACTTCCCGAGTGCGCTGGGTCCAGCCACCGGACAGCTGGGTTCCGCAGTCGGGACACTGTTCCACCACGTGTTCCACCCGCTGGGTGGGCGTCATGCGGGTGCGAGCAAAGCCGTGGGGCCGAGGCTTGCGTGGTTTCTTGGGCTGGGCCGGCTGCTGCTCGGCTTTGGGCTTCAGACCGGGCATCCTGCGGGTGCCGCCCAATTTGTCCCGCCCTTCCAACTGGGCGATCCGTTTCTCCAGGCTCTCGATGATGCCCTGTTGCCTCTCAATGATGGCAATCAGCACATCCCGGTCCGCAGTGCTGAGGTCGATTTCCGCAGGCAACGCGAGCCACTGTTCCGGTGTCGGGTCCACTTCCGTCTGGGTCCAGTGCTGATCCAAGGCAATGCCTCCCGAACTGAGTGTCACCAGCATCATGCCGGTCGCCGTGCGGTTGTCGGAAAGACCGGTCTGGACAGACTATCCGGTTTTCCGTTCGCCCCCAGCCATCTGTTGTGTATTCGTTAGGTAGCGGTCGCGTACGATCCATATTCGGCGTTCAATCGTCGGTATCGCCCTTCTCGGTATCGCCCTTCAGGGAAGGGTGGGAAGCATCGGTGTATACCGAATGGGCGAACTCGTGGGATAGCTGAGAATATCTCCGAGCGTGTTCTTTGTAAAAGTCCAGCGCATCGAACTGCATACGGCCACCCTTGAGGCGGTCTGACGATTAACGACGAATAGATAGCGCATTTTGAGATTTAATTCCCATTACTGTCATTGTTTTGTAGAATCGAGGCCTGTACTCCAATGATGGTCCATATGCGACCGTTTTTCTCTATGCCTTTGGGGTGGTTTGAGGTGGCGGAATGAATTCCACAGCAGGTAGTCTGCATCAGCTCTTCAAGGCTCAAGCGGCGGAGACTCCAGACAGCCCGGCGATGGTCTTCCGCGGTGAGCCGACATCTTACGCTCAACTGGACCAGGAGACTGATGCGCTGGGCACCTATCTTCGGGGTTGCGGGGTCTCGACCCGATGACCCAGTGGGCATATTCATGGAGACTTGCCCGGAGTATATCGTGGCCAGCATCGGGACTCTGAAAGCCGGCGCCGCCTTTATGCCGATGTCCCTTGACTACCCTGAACCCTTGCTCCGTGCCGTGGTGTCTGAATCACAACCCAAGGTGGTAATCACCAAGGAGCGGTACTCGTCCAGATTGGGTCAATTCACCGGGGACGCATCTATTGGTCATTGACAGCGATCAGAACTGGAAGGGCTTCCAGGCTGAAAGCCGTGGTGTCGACCCCGGCAGCGACAGTTTGGCGTTCATCCCTTACACCTCCGGCACTACCGGAGACCCAAAGGGAGTGATGCTGACTACCGGCTCGGTCATTTCGTCCTACCTCGCCAGATACAAGTTCAGTTCTTACAGTGTCGGAGACCGGGTTGCCTGCAACATTTTCTTCCCCTGGGAATTCCTCCGTCCGCTGTTGAAGGGGGGAACGGTATACGTAATCCCGGATGACATTGTGTTCCTGCCCCGCGCTCTCGCCGCGTTTATCTCTGAGCACCAGATCTCCGAGATTCTGTTCACCCCCTCCCTGCTGCAGGGAGTCTTGAACTCGGCAGACCATGAGCTCTTGCGCGCCCGGCTGTCGTCGCTGCGAGTGGTCTGGCTGAATGGCGAGGTAGTGCCGACCAGCCTGCTGACGATTGCCCGGGACGTTCTGCCCGACTCAGCCCGTGTGTTCAACACCTACAGCATCAGTGAGACCCACGATGTTTGTACCGTTGACTTGACGGACTTGCGCCTCGAAGGATGGATGTGTGTCCGGTGGGTCTGCCGATGGACGGAGTGACGATCCGAGTGCTCCCTGAGGGGGGAGTCCAGTCTGGCCTCACACGGCGCCGGGGAGTTGTTCATCGGCGGCCGCGCCCTGGCCCGGGGCTATCTGAAGAGGCCCGACCTGGATTCCAAGGCGTTCGTCTGCTGGGATGGGGAGAGGTATTACGCCACTGGCGACCTGGCCGAGGTCGATTCGCGGGGGATGACCGCGATCATTGGCCGGAACGACTCGATGGTCAAGATCAGGGGTTACAGCGTTTACTTGGGGGCCATCGAGGAGACGCTCCGAAGGCACTGCGACGTGGCGGATGCGGCGGTGCTGGCTGAAACCGTAGACGAAACCAACAAGCGTCTGGTGGCCTACGTGGTCCGGGCGCCCCAGGCAACATGGAAGATTGACGCCAGGAGCAGGACCAGCAAAGACCTGCGGTCCAGGCTGGAGCGATATCTGCCAATTTACATGGTGCCCAGCCATTTCGTGCAACTGGAAGCGCTTCCCATCAATCAACAGACGGGCAAGCTGGAGCGCAAAGCCCTTCGGGCACCCTCGGGAAGGGACACCCATGTCAAAGCAGAGAACACCGCTGCCGGAGCGCGCCACTGCCCCAGAGCGCCGCCAAGCTTTGCGAGAGCTCTGGGGCGAGGCCCTGGATGTTGACAGCGACGCTCTGGAGGACGACTGGAACTTCTTTGACCTTGGCGGCCATTCTCTGGCCGGCTTGGAAATCACCCTCGGCATCGAACAGGTGTTTGGGATTGAACTTCATGGCGCCGAGGTTTACGAGTACCCGACCATAAGCGAGCTAGAGGCATACCTGGAAAGTAGAGGGCCGAGTATGGAATCGAGAATTTCGCTGGCCGACGACTCAGTGCTTGATCCGGAGATTGCGCCGGGTGGCAACGCAAGGGTTACACGCTTGAGTGAAGCATCGTCGGTCCTGGTCACGGGGACAACCGGCTTCCTGGGGGCCTTCCTGCTTGACGAACTGCTGCGCTTCACCGGGCAGAACACCCGGTTTTACTGTCTCATCAGGGACCGGGCTCCAGGGCAAGAAGGATCCGGCAACCGGGTGTTGGAGACTTTAAAGTTTTACGGCTTGGCTGGTCAGTTCGAGCAAGACCGCATCATCCCAGTCACGGGAGACCTCACTCAACCCGGTCTTGGCCTGAGAGATGACGAGTATAGAGAACTGGCGGACAAAATAGACCTGATATTTCACTGCGCCGCCTCTGTCAATTACGCCTATCCCTATGTCGCGGCCAAGCCCCACACCGTCGGCGGGACACTGGAGGTGCTCAAGTTCGCCTGCAACGGCACCACCAAACCAGTCCAATACATTTCATCCAACGGCATTTTCCCGGGAGGAGACGACGCCCCCTACTTGGAAAACAACCAGATTGACAACTTTGTCGACCGGATGGAGGGAGGCTACAACCAAGCGAAGTGGGTTGCGGAACGCCTCGTGTGGGCGGCAGTATCCCGCGGACTGCCGGTCTGCATCTTCCGCCCGGGGAATATCGGTCACCACAGCGGCACGGGCGCACTTAATCCGAATGACTTCCTGTCGTTAATGATCAAAGCCTGTGCTCGGTTGGGGTGTGCTCCCCTGGCGCCGGGCTGGTTCTTTGAAATGACCCCTGTGGACTTCCTGGTGACCGCAATTACGAACATTTCCGACGATGCGAGGCACCTGGGCAAGGTGTACAACGTGGTCCAGCAGAACCCGGTTCCCGCCGACCGCGTCTTCGCTGACATGGAAAGCCATGGATACGTAGCACAACGCGTTCCATTGGGGGAATGGAAATCAAGATTGGAAAGAATGGCCGAACGCGAAGAGGACATGGAGTTGCAAATCCTGGTCCGGTCCCTGGAATCAGTCGAGCCGTACATGGCCGATACCAGCGTTTATGACATCAGCCGGTTCGCCAAGGCTCTTTCGGAGACTGGTCTGACCATGCCGACGGTTAATGTGGACTACGTGACCAAGTTTCTGAAAAAGTAACCCAAAGGAGTTGAACGTTCACCAAGGACGGCCCTGCTGCCATATCCCTGACCGCATGACTGGCGCAGCAACCCCGCTCAAGGGTACCATCCGGCGGAGCAAGCGGTTCGCATCATGGATCAACAATAATCTGCCCGCCGCCGCACCGGGCGGGACACCGCATCAGGCTGTTTCGAGATTGAGGACATTTCAGCAATGAGTCAAAGACCCGATTATTCCGAAGCCTTCTACCGGAGTCACGCACAGCGTTACGCCGAGGTGAGCCACGGCTTCGTTCAGTCCGTGTACAGCAACTTCTCCCATCCGGGTCTCAAAGGCGATACGGACCTGATGGACCGCCTCCAGGAGCTGATACCCGCCGGGTCAAGAGGACTGGATGCCGGCTGCGGAGCGGGCGCTCGCGACGTCTTCTTCTACTGGCAACAGGGGTACGACATCTACGGGATCGACTCCATTGAGGAGAACATCCAGGAGGCGCGCCGGCTGCACCCTGAGATCGCGCAACGGGTGTCCGTCACCGACCTCCGCGAGCCCCTCAACTATCCGGACGCGCCTTCGACTTCGTTCTGTGCAACGCGGTCATCCAGCACATCGCCCCCGACACAGTTTTGGGAGTTACCCTGCCGGAGCTGGCCAGGCTCCTCAGCGTCGGGGGCGTGCTCCAGCTCATGTTCAAGGTCGGAGCAGGAATCGCGACGGTTTACGACCGGGATTACGGTGTGGATCGGACCTTCCAGCTCTACGGCGTAGCTGAGGTGACTGATGTCCTGGCAAGCCATGGGTTGAGCGTGATTCCGGCGGAGGGAGCAAAGCTGGGGGGAATCATGTACTTCACCGACCCCAAGCCGATGGACCACTGCGTCCTGTTTGCGCGCAAGGTCGGATGAGATGGAGCGCCGGTTGCCTCAGGGACCGGAGCGGCACCCGACAAAGACAGAGATGACCAGTCTGACGGTTCCCCAAGATCTTGGGGAGATTACCCCCGCCTGGTTGACCACGGCGCTGCATGGCAAAGCGGCCTCAAGCCGCGCCGTCGTGACTGGTTACTCGGCTGAACCCATCGCCGAGGGGAAGGGGTTTATGAACCAGGTGGTTCGACTGAGACTCCATTACGACGATGATCCGCTGGACCTCCCTCGCACCATAATTGCCAAGCTCCCCTCCGCAGACCCGGCATTGAGGATGTTCTCCAACCGGCTGGGACAGGACCGGCGCGAGGTCAGGTTTTATCAGGAAGTGGCGGCCGACGCCCACCGCAAACCCCGCACAGTTACTACTGTGGAATAGACTCGGCAACCGGCAACACCATTCTGCTGCTGGAGGATTTGAACAGCGCCCGCCAGGGCGACAGTGTGGCCGGATGCTCCCTGGCCGAAGCCCGGCGCGCCCTGGCCCAATTGGCTGAATTCCAGGCCGCCTGGTGGACAGCCCCCGCCTGGACCGGTTGGACTGGATGCCGTTGAAGGACGCCGAAACCGGCGCCTACCAAGAGTTGTACGCCGGCGCGTGGATGTCCTTCATCAAGAAGGCTGGGGACGGAATGCCCCCAGCCTTGCGACGGCTGGGAGACCGCCTGAGCCTCGAAGTTCCGAGGATAAAGGCCAAGCTCACGGCCCCACCCAGGACGATCATTCATGGAGACTATCGCCTCGACAACTGCTTTTTCCAAACGTCCGGCGGGGCACAGTCGTTGCTGGTTTTTGACTGGGAGTTCTGTGCCCGCGGCAGAGGGACCTATGATGTTGCCACGTTCATCAGCGAGGCCTCCCCTCACAGCAACGCAGGGACGAAGAGTTGAGTCTGCTACGCACCTACCACTCCATCCTCGTGAGCAACGGCGTAAAGGACTATCCCTTCGCCGAGTGCCTGGCTGATTACCGGCTTTCGATGCTGGAAATCTTTGTTTTCTGGATCGTCACCGGAGGCTGCTGCGATTTCGATGACGAGCGGGCCACCGTATATTTGCACAACTCATTGGAGCGTTTCGACGCCGCCATATCCGACCTTGCCTGCGCCGAACTACTCACGAGCTAATGTCATGTGTCCAAAGCACGCTTGCAACAGCGCGCCACGCTAGCCAGTATCCGATCCGCGGTCTTGGTCCAGACAAAAGGCTTGGGGTCTTCATTGGTAATGTCCAGGCATCGGTAGATGGCCGCTTCCGGTTCTCCGCTGCCATTCCCACTCCATCCTTCCAGGTCGACCATTGCCTCGTGTACCGCCAAAACGGGCCAGGTCTGCGCCTCCGCCATGCCGGAGTGCGTGGTCTTATTGATACCCGAATTGCTTCGCACAAGGATCATTACGTGAAGCGCTCCTTTCGGTAGCGTCCTATTTGAGGCAATGCACCGGCAGGACTAATTGTCGTTAATCAACTGTGGCGGTCCCCACTATGTTCTCTTTTCCACTATCCAGGTAGTCTGCAGGGTGCATTGACTTGTTTTCACAAGGATGCTAAACCGATAATAAGGGCCTTGGCTATTCTCACATCCGCTAATAAGGGATAACGTGGCAACCGCTTCTGCACCAAAACGTCAGCCTCATGGTCATATGGCGACCGGTCTGGGTGGCTACCGCGCCTATGTACCGGCCTCGCTCCCACCGCTTCTGGAGTGGGATGACAGTCTGACGGTAACCCTTTCCTCCGCCGACCGGGCCATCGGCAGGCTCGCGGGCGAGGGACGGCGCTTACCCAATCCTCACCTCCTGATCCGGACCTTCGTCCGCAAGGAGGCTGTTCTGTCCAGCCGCATTGAGGGAACCCAGGCGACCCTTGGCGAGTTGCTGGCCGCCGAGGCCGGCGCGGCCGTGGAGCGAAGTCCTGCCGACCTGCGCGAGGTGGGCAATTACGTAGCGGCTTTGGAGTATGGTCTGGAACGGCTGAACACGCTGCCCCTGTCGCTGCGCCTAGTACGCGAGATGCACGAACGACTCATGCGGGGCGTTCGTGGCGACGTGGCTACACCGGGGGAGTTCCGGCGTAGCCAGAACTGGATCGGCCCGCCCGGATGTACGCTGAATGATGCCACCTATGTCCCGCCGCCAGTCTCGGAACTCATGCCCTGCCTAGATGCTTGGGAGCGGTTCCTGCATGACGACGCCCTGCCACCTCTGGTGCACGCTGCTCTGGCACATTCCCAGTTTGAGGCGATACACCCCTTCCTCGACGGGAATGGCCGCGTGGGACGGCTGCTCATTACGCTGCTGCTAGTCAAGCGGGATGTAATCCCCTCTCCTCTCCTCTACCTGAGTGCCTACTTTGAGGCCACTCGGGAAGAATACTACGCACGCCTCCTCGGAGTGACGGAGCGCGGCGAATGGGAAGAATGGCTCACCTATTTCCTGAGAGGTGTCGCTCTCCAGTCCCAGGACGCCGTAAACCGGATTCAGCGTATAGATGACCTGTTCTCCCAATGGAAGCGCGGTCTGGCTGGTGGACAGTCCCGACTCCCAGAAAGGGCGCTCGACCTCTTCGCTGAGAACCCCTTCTGGACGGTGGGGAGTCTGAGTGCCCGACTGGAAGTGGCATTCACCACAGCCCAGCGCGCCATGGACCGCCTGGAGGCGGAGGGCATCGTCGCCCAGGTCGGAGCAGCACGGCGTAATCGAGTGTATCGGTCTGAAGCCATCCTTGACGTGTTGGAGGAGCCTCTGCGCCTCGCGGGTTAGGTTTCGGCGAACACCAGTGGACCGGATACAGCCTTAGGAGGATCGCGTGATCACTTACTGATGATCAACGACAATCAGAAATGCCGTCGGCAAAAATAGTCGACACTACGTGGCGATTCGCAGGGTCTTTGACCACCTTGGGAGCGCAGTGATTTGATGGATATCAGGTTACTGTTTGGCGGTCAATCACCTCCTGCAGAGCCCAGCAGGGCACGGTGTGGCGATAATCTCTCCCTGTAGCTGGTGCCTTCGATGACGATTTGATAGCTAGCGTTGGCCAACCGGTGGAGGGCACTGTTGCCGAGGATGGGGTCATCAAACAGACCCAACCACTCGTCCACGGCCTGATTGCTGGTGATGACGAAGCTGGACGCTCGGTGTCGGATGAGGTCATACAGATTCATTGCCTTATTGATGCTCCTTGTGGTTCGCCCAATAGCCGTTACGTGAAGTCGTTTGTCGAGGCTGCCGGTGCGACATTACCGCGGCCCCATCTTCCTGCCCCAAGTTGCGAATGCTATCGGCAGCGGCGACCCACGCACGGCTCCCAACTTGCCCTCTTCGCCGCCTACCGCTATCACGGCTGCATCACCGACCGAGACGGGGACAACACTCTGGAACTGGAGGCCGACCATCGCCGCCACGCCGAGATCGAGAACGTCATCCGAGACCTCAAGTACGGCGTGGGGCTCAACCATCTCCCCTCGGGCCGCTTCGCTGCCAACGCCGCCTGGCTGGCGATTCAGGTGATGGCGCAAAACGTAGCCCGCCGCCCCCCGCCGCCGCCCCGCTGGGCAGCGCGCATCAGTCTGGGCGATCAACAGGCGACCACCAAGACCCGCCCCTGGAGGATCTTCCCCTGTGATGGGTGACGTCGGGACGCCGTTTAGCGCCCCGCAAGTCTTCCGGGGCGTGGTGCGTTCTCACATCCTCAGCTCCAGTCGCGGGTCCAGGAGGCGTTTCGGCACCTCCGTTTCGCGCATGAAGTAGACCAGCTTCTGGTGCAATTCCGATGCCACGTCCAGGTGGGTCTCTATGACGTTGGTCGACTGCTTGGGGTCGGCGGCGAGGTTGTAGAGCTTCGAGACCCCGGGTAGGGAGCTGTAGAGGAGGCTCCAACCTCCGGAGGTCACGGTGGTCACCGGCGGCTCCGTCAGTATCCCGGAGCAGGTTGTCCACGGAGTGCACCGGGTCGCCGGGGTTGGCGAAGGGCAGGCTGCTCACGACGAAATCCCGGCCCTGGGTTGCGGGGTCGCGCAGCGCCGGTGCGAGGGAGCGGCCCTGCACAAAGTCAGGGAATCTCCAGTCCCAGCAGGTCCAGGACCGTGGGCATAACGTCCACCGCGGAGGTGATGCCGGTGTAGTTGCCCGGCGGGACGCCGGGTGCCCGCAGCAGGAGGGGCAGGTGGACGATCTCTTCGTAGAGCGGCGAGTAGCTCCACTGCGAGCCGGGTTCGTCATAGGGTCTCAGTGTGCCGTCGGGGTATTTGTCAGAGCTCATCTTGCCGAACAGGCCGCCGTGTTCTCCAAAGTAAAACCCGTGGTCGGTGGTGAAGATGACGATGGTCCGGTCGGCCAGCCCCATGTTCTCCACCGACCTCAACAGGAAGCCCGCCCACGTGTCGACCATGGTGATCTCGCCGCAGTAGGTGGCGTGTCCCTTCCGGAGCTGCTCCTCCTGGTACCCGGGCACGTCATGCCAGTTGCCGTACACCGGCAGCACCAGTTCGCCGTCGTACCCTGGCCAGTAGAGTTCTGTGTAGTAGGGCGGCGCATCCCAGGGTTCGTGGGGGTCCCAGGTGTCCACGTACAGGAAGAAGTCCTCCTTGTAGTGCTGTTCCAGCCACCGCATGGCGGTCATGAATGTCTTGGGGGCGTTCCGATCGGCCTCGCTGCGCCAGGCGGCCCTGACGTCGAGGGCCTCGTTGTGGTAGCCGGGCTCGGGGATCAGCGACCAGAGGGTATCCTGTCCCACGTTCATGAAGAACGACTGGAAGCCTCGGTCGTAGTTCATCCCGCCCCTGAGGTAGTAGGGGGTGTCGACGGAGGCAGCCGTGTGCATGCCGTGTTCGGCCAATATCTCGGCAAGGGTGGTCACGCCCGCCGGGAGCGGTTCCCAACCCATGAACGACATGGTCCAGCGCCCGGTCTGGTGGTCTGCCCGTGTGGGCATGGTCGGAAATCCGGCAGAATAGTGGTTGTCGAACCTCACCGCGCTTGCCGCCAACGCGTCAAGCGACGGAGTCCGGATGTTGTTGTTGCCGTACGCGCCCAGGTGATCCCTGCGAAACGAGTCGGAGACTATCCAGATGACGTTCATGCTGACCTCCGTGTTTTCAGGTGGTTGCGCCGGCGATGTTCTTGAGCATCCGGCCTCCCAATACGTGGCGATCTGACGATTATCAGTTTGCGGTTTGCCGGTCAATCACCCCCGCCGTGATCACATGGCCTTTTCAAGGTCATTGGATTTGGACTCTCCCGCTCGTCCCAAGTCTATCGAAGGACGCGCCCATGGTTCGACAAGCTCACCATGAGCGGACGGCTTGTGACTTTGAAAATGCCCGGCGGGGCATGGCGATTTCGGTTGCGCTCCGGTTTAGCGGGCGAGCAATTCGACCGATTCAAGGTCGGATATGGCAGCATCGAGCCGCTCAAGAGTGTTGTGCAGGTACGACGTGGCACGTTCGCCTTCGTAATTGCAGTAACCTCCCGTTACTATCCAAAAAATAAATATCTCCAGCATCGCCAACCGGTAATCGCGCCAGCATTCCTCAAACGAGTAATCGGCCACGCCGTTGTCCATCAACACGGAGTGATATGTGCGGACCAGAGCCAACTCCGCCTCTCTGCGTCGTTGGGCGGGAAAGGCTTCGGAGATGAAGGTGGCCACGTCGCAGGTCCCCGCGGCCTCGGACGCAAAATTCCCAGTCAACGACCACCACCGGCTGACGTGTCAGGGCATCGTCGGTGAAGAAGCAGTTGTCCAGGCGATAATCGCCGTGGACAATCGTTCGGGGAGACGTGCTGAGTTCCGATTTTATCCTGGGAACCTCTGACCTCAGCCGATCCCCCAACCGGCGCAAACCCCGCGGCATACCATCGCCGGCATTCTCTATCAGCGACTGCCATGCCCCAGGGTATATTGCTTGGTAGCGTCCAGCTTCCGCTTCCTTTGACGGCATCCATTCCAGTCTTTCGAGCGCCGGGCTATCCCACCAGCCCGCCTGGAATCTCGCCAATTGGACGATGGCTTGGCGAGCTTCGTCGAAGCCGCAGCCGACAACGCTATCGCCCTGGCGCGCGTGGTTCATGTCCTCCAGCAGCAGAACAGTATCACCAGTAATCGGATCGATACCCGAGTAGTAACAACGGGGCGCCGGCAGGTGAGGGTTGGCAGCCAACACCTGGTAAACCCTGACCTCGCGCCGATGCTGCCCCAATCTGTCGGAAACCTCCCTCAGCCCAGGGTCCGAGCCTGGCAGCTTGACGATGATGGTGCTGGGCAGATCCGGCACCCCCGGGTCGTAGTCCAGCCTCAGCCGAAACAGCTGGTTAACGAACCCGGTACCCTCGGCAATGGTTTCGGCCGAATATCCGGTGACGATAGCGCCGCCGGAGACGCCGCCACTCTCCAGCACTACCGTCAGCCAGTCCGGCGTGATGTCTCCAAGGTCTCTGGGTATTGTCGGACTCACCTTCTCATCCGTCCGCGCACTGCATTGAGCCGTGGCAGCGTCGCGTCCCACGTCTTATTCGTCTTTGCGGGCGAAGAAGACACAATGGTCCATCGGCTTCGGGTCCTTAAAGTTCATGACGCCTCCGAGTTTGTCGCCTTCTGCCGGGACAATGCTGAACCCCCGGCCCATCAGGAGGTCCAGAATCTCCTCCGGATTGTAGAGCTGAAAGGTTCGGTCCGCGGCGTAGTCCCGATCGTACACGGTTGCGACCCCGTTTCCGGTCTTGAACATAAGCTGGAGTACCCCGCCGGGTTTCAGAAGCCTCGCAAACTCCGGCAGCGTGATGCCCAAGGCAATATCCGGCGCGATGTGTTGGATCACCGCGTTGCAAAGGATGAAATCGAACGAGCCGTCCGGATAGTCGAGAGGCCGGCGCAGGTCGGCCACCGATACCCTCTGTGCGATCTCTGGATGAAGCCGCCGGGCTTCCAGGATGTTCTCTTCCACGGCGTCCACCCCGAGAATATCGTGGCCCTGCTGCCAGTAATGGAAGACATCACGGGCGCCCGCGCCACAGCCTGCGTCCAACCCTCGCGATCCTGCAGGGATCAGCTCCTGCAGGCGATCCATCAGGTCCTCATCGCCCCTGAGCGCCGGGTGGGAGGTTTCGATGTACACGGATTGGATGAAATTATGGCTTACCTCGGCGTAACGCCGGGCGTGTTGCCGATAAAAGGTCTCAGAATAATCCAGGTTCTGACTCATTGCCGGAACTCCTCCGAATTGACTGTTGACTACCAAATCACGAAGTGTGCCAACCCTCGACATCCTTGACGCGAGACGACCCCTCACGCCGTGCGCATTGCCTCAATCGAAAGGTTACTGAACTACGGTCGCACGGGGTCTCCCGGCAGATGCAGCCACGAATTTTGGGATAGGTTACCACCAGCGTCGGAAAGGCTAGCTGCAACGCATCAGCGAACCTGATCAGCCCTTGCACCGTGACGGTGTGCGGTATGCTGCTATCTTATTGATACCCGCGTTGCTTCGCGCAATTGTCATTACGTGAAGCTTCCGTTGCCGCCAACGCCGCCTGGCTGGCGATCCAGGTGATGGCACATAACCTGGCCCGCTGGACCGCGCGCATCGGTCTGGGTGAGCAACTGGTAACCACCAAGACCCTCCGACGACGCTTCTTCTCCCTCGCCGGACGGCTCACCCGCTCGGCGCGCCGCCTCACTTTGCATCTTCCCCAGCGCTGGCCCTGGGAAAACCAGTTCAGTCGCGCCCTCGCTCGATTGCGAGCGCTGTCATCTCCTGCCTGACGGCGCCGTCGGCGCCTGACCCATCCACCAGACTACCCAAACGCCTCGTAGACCCGAGCCAGGTCGGTTCCCAAGCGTTTCAGTTTCTGGCTGCATACCGCCCTGATAATCTCGCCCAGCACCGCCACTGCGGGCCGTCAACGTCCTCTTTGCGTGGCTACCGCACTCTTCCACAGCCAAATCTATTGGGATCAAGCCCTCACCGTCTCTCTCCCTTGCCTCACATCGCTTGTCTGACCGGCATGGCTACGTCCCTTCGGTGGATTCGGGGTTAGTAAACGCTGGGGCATTCGTCGGAGCAACGGGGGCCGCGCCAGCAGTTCTGGCCAGTTCGATCGCTGATACTATTCTTTCCGCCTCCGCACGCTCCTCGTATTCGCCGGAATAAAGCCACTCGCTCTCACCGGTTACGTCAATGCCGGCGCGGTATTTGGTAGTTTTGGCCGTGCCCCATTCGACGATTTTGTGTCCTAACAAACCCGCCAACGTCGCCCCCAGGATAACGGCTCCGACAAAGAGCCAACCTACCACTGTCGAAGGGTCGATCAAAGACGAGATTGTCTCCGCGAGATCATCCCACTTCTCCAAGAGATACTCCCCCGGGCCCGTATTGAATGGGAATGAAGGATTACCTCCCGCGTAAGGGTCGCCAAACTTGCTCTCTGCTATGAAACCGAATTGATCTAGAACGGCAAAAAGAACCCCCCACAAGAAAATAATCGAAAGCCCCGTAGCGCCCGCCACGGGCGGCCATTTTATAAGGTTGCCGACGACTTTCAAGAACTTATTCGAACCCGTTTCTGCCTCCACTTCAACCTCGACCACAGCCGCAGACTTGACTCTGTTCATTGTCACGGTTTTGCCGGGGAACCGCAAAAGGTTCGCGGACACAAAAACCCGGCTGGCATCGTAGAACACTTGCTCCGGCTCCGGGCTGGTAAGCGTTGGGCGCATTTGCCGAAGCAACTGGAGCCGCCCCCAACTCCCGAGGCTCACCGGAAGGACGTGCTGCGGGCCGCGGCGCTGAGCTTGCTGACTCGCGTTGGGTTTCCTCGGCAGCAACTTTGTCCACCCCTTCGTTCCGTCCCGTCAGGTTCCATCTTTTCGCAGACAATAAGAAGTGATATGCCTGGTCCAAGTCCAGCCCCTGCTCCTCGGGGTTCTCGGTCGCGCCAAACCAGCCTGGGGCCGAAACGGCATCGTTCAACCACGGCCCCGCAGCATCCAGTGCGATTGCATACGCCAGCATCTGATCCGAACTAGCCACAGCATCCCCCGGGCCCAGACCCGCCAGGTATTCCTTCAGCCCCAACCACTGGCCGATCTCATTCAAACCCGACTCAGTAGGTTTGAGTTTGCCTACATTGGTGGGATCAAAAATCAGAAAGTATACGAACCCCAGGACGCCGCCGGCGATTGCGTTGATCCACCACTGGGAAATCCATAGCTCCAGCCACAACCCCACGCCAACTCCCAACAGGATCACCCCCAGTATTACCGCCCACGCACCCTGTGAGTGGTGTTCCCGCATTACTCGTATCGGGTTATCGCTGAAAAGCCCCTGGTATTGCAGATATTCCCCCAGCCCATCACCCACGGCTTCTTTCTGCTCCCCCAGCCGCGCACTTATTCGCTCTACCGTGATCGGCCCCGTGGGTAGCTGGTCGCACACCAGACGCTCCCAATCGAAGTTCGTCGACTCCCGGGCAGTCAGCGTATAGGAATATTCACCTCTCCGCGTAGCCCTCCTCACCGGAGTGATTTCCAGCATGCCTCTTTGGCACATCTCGACTACCGACGTCAGTAAAGTGCGGTCGTTGACCTGCCGGCTCTCCAGCACGGAAACCGCCGCTGCAGACAGCCCACTGGGTGGTCGGGTTACCGGCTCGATCAACTTGCGATGCTTGGCTTCTCTCCACTTGAACTCCAGGATCCAGAGTGGGATGACCAGCAACAGCGCCAGGCCGGTACCGGGTACGCGGAAAACCCAGGCAGTTAACTGCTTCCAGCCCATCTCCCCAAAATCAGGGATGATGTATTCTGCGATAACCCCCGCGGGATCGAATACGAACACCAGCGCCATAGCAGCGAGAACCAGCATGATGACCAACAAGCGCCACATAATGTCCTCCCCATCGCAATATGCGCTGCCGCGCCGATAGCCGTCCGCGATTTCAAACGTTCCCTCTCTAGTATTGAGCGTTTGGCTAATTCTCTTGCTTGACCCTGTGTTACGTATCTGGGACTCTCGTAACCGTGTCGGCGGCGTTAGTCCCCGCAATGAGAAGATAAGTGGCAGCAGTAGCAGCCCGCGCAAGTGGGCAGTAGGAACTACCTTCGAGTGGGAATATCTGCTTCCCTGGTGGCGATCGGTACTTCCTCCGCTTTTGGGGAGAGTGGTCTTACGTCCCGGACCCGTCCTACGCGTCGCTGGCGCGTGTCCTGACGGCGTTGAAGAGGGGCCGGGCGCGGGGCCTCAGCTTGGCTTTACCGTTGTGGTCAAAATAGTAGGCGTACTCTTCGTCAGTGCTTCCCCAGAACTTGATGCCTGAAGTGATGAGTCCCTCGTTGTACGCGACCTGAAGACCCTCGTATGGTATTTCCACTATGGTCTGGGTGACCATTCCGGAGTTCAACATGACGACCCTCCGGTCGGTGGCCACCACGACGCCGTTGTGAACTTCAGGCGCGAAACGCTGAGCCCCGCCCACCGGTTGGCCCAGGGCCGCACCTAAGGCAGTGCTCACGGCCGCTCTGGTCACGGCCTGCGCGATGGTATCGAATTCATCGGCTGGGCCCCATCGGCCCCCCATCCAATACTCGATGCTCTCATCATCCTCCAGTATCTCGTGGAGCATCCGGCGCTCGCCGGGATAGACGTCAGTCTTCTCGCCGGAAAGGTTGCTCATCAGCACGGCTACGATGCGCTCCAGCGGGTTGGGCTCGTTTCGGCCCCACATGGTCGACCGTTCCCGCCACTGGGCGTCGATTCGCTCCGTTTTGTCCATTGCGGCGTATTGGACTGCCGGCGTCCGACCGAAATCTGGTGCCGCGTTCGTTGAGGCGGATGGTTCCTCGAAATTGGACCCCAGGAGTGGCGGAGGGTTGGCCTTCGTGTCCTGCACCTTTTCGGCGAACCGACGAGCCTGGCCGTCGCGGACCTCCGTGATCTTGTTGATGCCCCGGGCGTCGTCGTTGCCCAACCAATTGCTCAGGCTCAAGCCTACGATGGTCAAACCGTCCCCAGCACCGTCGTAATCCACTGAGGTTATGGTTTCCAAGGGCATCTCAGTGACCAAATGTGGTCCAAAGGATGCCCCCTTCAGCATCACCACCCGTTCCCTCGTTACGAGGGCTACTCCCTTGTTCCGCCGCATTCGGTCCATGCGGCTTGCTCCTTCCCGGAACACGGAGCCAGGGCCCCAAGTGCAGGAAACCAGCGCCTCGATCTCCTCGTCATCTTGCAGTACCTCATACAGCGGCCGGAGCTCCGAGGAGTGGTCCTTTCCCCAACCCGGCTGCAGCGTCTGCCAGCGGGCGTCGATCCTGCTTCGCTTATCCTGCATAACCATCGTCTATCTCCGGGGTAGGTTTCACTGCGTACGGCATCAACTCCCGCCGAGTCCAACAGCAGTCACCTGACGCAGACCTCAGGCTCCTACTTCTGACCTACCAACGGTGAGGTGGACCGGGGAAACTGGATAAATGAAGGAATTGCGCTTTGCGTTCCCTGTAAACCTGCAGTATGCAGAACCTCGCTACGAATCGTGGTCGCAGTATAGCAGCGCGTGCTGTTTCGGAGAAAAAAGGGTGAAACCCTCGGCTGCCCATCAGGTGCCCGCTGGTTGGAAGACCGGCGGGCACCTGATGACGTCCTATTTCTCACCCCTCTACAGTGGGTGAACCTACACTTTCGCCGGGATAATTGAGGGCCTGTCCCCCTTGCCTCATAGAGAAATGTTGCTGAACTTCGGTCGCACAAGGTCTCCTGGCGGATCCAGCCACGAAATGGGAGATAACTTGCCACCGCCGTTGGGAAGACTCGCTGCAACCCATTGGCGGAACTGATTTGCCCGCGCCTTGCGCAGACGGCTCGGCCTTATTGATACCCGCAGTGGTTCGCGTAATGGCCGTTACGTCGAGTCAGTTGCTCTGGCACTCAGAACGTCAGCCTCATGGTGGATGCCGTCGGCCCAACGCTGTCCCCCTTTGGTTCCGAACGCCGGCGGTCAGGCGACAACAAGTAACGCCGGTGCTATAGGCTATTTCCCCGGTCGAGATGGGTCATCATCCAGACCCTCGACGGGCGATTGTGCGCATCGGTCCGCCTGAAGGTACAGTTCCAGTCCGGCCTGCGAAGCCTGGGCGTAGACGGCCACCAGCGCCGGCAGGAACTCTTCGCTGCCCTGCCAGAACGGGAGTCGGCCCAGGTGCTGCGGCAGCGCGGCCAACTCATCAGGCACGCGCGCCGGCCCGATGAGGTCGTCGTCATCGTCCCATTCGAATTCGCCTCAGAATTTGGTCGGGATCCGCGGGCAGCCGTTCCGGCGCTAGCATCGAGGCCATCCAGGCGTTGGCATCGTCGGTGACGGTGGTGACCGTCACCGACGTGTTCGGTTTCCGGCTATTCCTCGGCATCGCCAGCGCCGCGACCGCCCTGATCATCCAGGCCGCCCCACGATGTTGCGCTGGCTGCAACCAAGCCCCACCCTGACCCAGCAGGACACGCAACGCAGCCTGGGGCTGATGCGTTGGGACGTGGTATTGGCCAGCGCCATGTTCAGCCTGGGCAGCGGAGGATTCATGGCAGTATTATTGAAAGGGCTCCGCCTTTTCAATAACACTTGACTTCGGCAAACGGAACCCCCGCGTGTCACGGGAGCATGTTGTGAACACTGAGAAAGACGACACGGTCGCACAACCGCAACGGCCAACCCCAAACCTGGCGGGACGCATTGAGGAACACCTCCAGAGCAAAACACTGGCGGGGCTCATGCAATTGGTGCCGCTGCTGGTCACGGTCTTCCTGATCGCGTTCATCGTCGGCCACGTCGATAGCTTTGTGAGGCCCCTGCCCTACATCTCCGGCCGTCCCTGGGATTTCCCCGGTATCGGCCTGATCGCCATCATCGTCATTTTCTATCTCGTTGGGCTGCTGATTTCCACCGCAGTTGGGCGACGTATCATGGGGTGGAAAAGCGCGGTGCTCCGTCATATCCCCGTTATCAAAACCATATTCGGAGCCACCGAGCAGATGACCACACTGATGGCCTCCGACTTTCATTTCAGCCGCGTGGTGTTCCTGGAGTGGCCCCGAGAGGGAATGGCGGCCATGGGTTTCGTGACCGGCCGTGCTTATTCGCAGAGCGGCGACCATTCGTTGGCCATCGTGTACATACCCACCGTGCCCAACCCGACGTCGGGGAACATGGCCTTCGTCAATGAAGACGACCTTCTGGAGACCGACATCACCGTGGAGGACGCTGTCAAGCTGATGTTCTCCGGCGGGATCATTCTGCCGGACAACATGGCCTTCGCGCGGCTGGCGCGCAAGGCGCGGGAAGGCGAGTTCATCGGCCGCTTTGAAACCCACCCCGAATGAGCGAAATACGACCGGAATGCAACCCACAGCGATTCGTTTCCAGCACCTTCCACGAATCGCCTCAGCCGCCCGGCGTTGCACCGAATGGCGTGCAGCATCAGCCTGCGATGTGCCGCCTCCAACCGCGAGGAGCTGCGGAGGCCCATCTCCCCATAGGACGATGGATGAGGGTTGAGGCGTCGTTGGCGACGAAAATAGTCGGGTACAATTGGGCGCTCGTTGCACAACAAATCATGGAGCATCGATTACAGGAGGTACCATATGAACCAAACGCAACGTGATCTGCTAGTACTGGCCGCCGGCATCGGCGTAGGTGTCGGGCTGGGAATGTTGCTGGCTCCCCGCAGCGGCCGGGAGGCGCAGGAGTTGTTGCAGACCACCGCCAACCAGGCGGTTGACCGTGGTCGCGACTACTGGCAGCGCATCCGTACCCGAGGCGGCGGCACGGAAGTCGTAGATATGGCGGCAGCGGACAGCTAAGGCGCCACTTGTCGCCGGAAGGGTCGGAATTAATCACCCTTCCGGCGTTTTTGCATGCAACAAGTGAACGAAGCTATGCCGCCAGACACCCTGCCAATGATCCGGGACATTGCCATCATCGCAATGACGGTGACCGCGGCGGCGGCAACGCTCACGGTAGTTGTACTGAAGATATACCCAACAATCAGACGGCCGCGCGCAATTTTGAAATGTCCTCCCATCTGATGCTGAGCACAACGTCCCGCATATCGGGTTTGGTGAGCGCCGGCAGCGTGTTGGGCATCTTCCTCTGGGATCTGATAACGCGCTTTCGGAACCGCAACGCCGGGGAACCGCCACCCGAGGAACACAACCGCATTGCCTCAAATCAAATGTTACCGACGTTCGCTCGCATCAAGCCTCTTGGCGAACCCAGCCACGAAATCCGAGTTGGCTGGCCACCGTCGTCGGAACGACCCCCCGCAACGCATCGGCGAACCCGATTTGGGAATCCATCCTTCCGTCGTCCTCCGCCTTATTGATATCTACTTTGGTTCACACAATAGTGGTTATGTCAGGCCATTGACAACGTTACGTAACGGTATGACAATCCCAGTGTTACGTAACGGAGGTACGCGATGGCCAAGACCAATGCTGAAAGACAAGCGGGATGGCGCATGCGTCAGCGCGAGAAACTGGACGCCCTTGAAGTCCAGTCGATGCTCGAAAGTGACCTGGCACTCGCGCACATCCGCATCAAAGCCTTGGAAGATATCATCGCGGCCGACAAAGAGCAGCTGGAGGCGTGGCGCAGTGCCCGTCGATCGACGGGCAATCCCCAGTTCAAGGAAGCGCTGCGGGCGATGATGGATGACACGCATGCCGCCAACCTTGCCCGTGATCAAGCGTTGGCAGAGCGCGACGAGGCCGTTCGGCGCTATGACCCTGAACAGTTCATCCTCACGTCTGAGCTCGCGGAGGTCCTTCGGGAATCGCCATCATCCAACAAACGCTTTTTGCTGAACCGAGCCGCCGGGATTTTGAAGGCCGCCACCCGAAGGCGCAACACTGCCCCATGATCCCCGCAACCGCTATTACGTTGCATATTGATACCCGACTTGCTTCGCACAGGGTTCATTACGTGAACTTAGACGGGTAGAGTAAGCCCTGAGCCGAGCGGTGGCGCAACAGAGGATGGTTTTTCTGACTATCCATGGCCATCTGCAACGGCGGCGTTGGGCACATGCTCGCGCAGCAGTGCCTCCAGATCTTCTCGACAACGGCGCGGCAAGTCCTGGCGGTCAGTCATCAGCTTCTTCGAAGGGGTTCAGCACCGTAACTCCAGTGGGCGCGAAGTCGCGGACGTTGCGGGTGACCACCGTCAAACTGCGGTGTAGGGCGATGGCAGCAATCTGTAGGTCGGAGTTGGTGTAACCCAGTTCCGCGTGCAGAAGACCCCAGCGCCTGGCTGCCGCCTCGTCGAACGGAAGGATACGGTCATGGAACGAGGTCGCCACAGACTCCAGCCAGCGATCCAACAATTCAGCAAATGCCGGTTGCGTCCTGCGCTGACGGGCCGCCCCGTACATGATTTCGCCTACCGTCATCACGCTGATGTACAGACCTTGTGGCGGCTGCTCCTGCAACCACCGGGCAACCGAGACGTGTCGCTCGGGTCGTCGCAATGCCGAAACGACCACTGTATCCAGGAGGTACATTCAGAAATCGACGGCCCTGGCAGTGTAGTCCCGGGTACGGCAAGGTAGCTCGAAGCCGTCGTCCTCGCTGCCCCTCGGAATTGCCAGCAGATGGTCCACGAACGAGGGCGTATTCTCGGCATCCCTTTTGCATAGCCGCTGGTATTCTTCGAAGGCCACCACTACCACGACTGGCTTGCCCCTGCGAGTAACTTCCTGGGGTTCCCCGGTAAGAGCGGCTTCCACCACTGCGCTGAATCGGTTCTTGGCGTCCTGCAATTGCCAGGTGGTCATCGCAAACTCCGTCTAGTCTGTCTAGCCTATTATAGCGCAATGCGGGTTTCACCGTGGCCATGATTCAGGGTTGAAGGAAGGCTGACTCTATCGCGACCTTTCCATCATGTTCAACCAAAACCCAAAGGCTGATAGGCGACAATTAGTCCTACCGGCCTGTTGCCTCATCGAGAAGTGTTACCGGAACTTTCACATCTGGGGAGCAATGCCTCAGCGGGAAAACTCACCGTCGAAGTGCGGCAATCCGTCCAGCGCCCCGTCGGCGTCTTCGTCACCTAACTCCAGCAGATCCACAGCCTGCTCGTATCGCTCTTCTTCATACCCCTCCGGGTCAATGGCCTGGTAAATGCGGTCAATGGCCTCGTGGGGGAGTCCGGCAGCGCGGGCCTCTCCCAGCAGGATGCTCACAGTGGTGTAGTCTGTCGACGGCGGGGTCACGCCCAACTTTTCGGCTTCATGACCCATGGCCGCGGCCAGCTTGGCCAGCTTCACCGAGTCCAGCCCCTGCCGCCGTGCCGTC